ACTGAACAGCCACATCCTTTTGTAATTTCTATAGTTCCCACTTCCACTTCAGTTTTTAAATAATCAGATTTATATTTGCATACTATATCTATGGGTTTTCAGAATAACACACTACAGGACAATTGTACTTGCAGGTATCCTTTCAGAAAGGATAATGACATTTACTGAAAAAAACCCCCAAGAAACAGAATTCCAAACTTGCTATCAGTTTAAATGCCAGTGCAAGTAAGTTTCAAATTTTATATAAGCATAGATGTATCTTGTATGTATATATTCCAAACAACACAATTATCCAAGATGGAGCTTATAGAAAATGGGTCTAATCAAAGTTTCTTCTCCCTGTTGCTGCTCTCACATACTTTCTGGAATGGCCTTGAGCAGTCTCTAAAATATAGAAAATCTGCTGCTTATATTTTGAGTAGGAACCAAACTTTTAGATTTACAAATTCTAGTTTAACTCAATACTGAGAAAGACCCAGTCATCTGTGTCAGAGTTCTTAACTGAGTCTAATTCACATACAGGACTGAACACTCATATGTCAAAATTCCTACAAGTTTTTTGAAAAGCAGTGTATAAGAAAGATGGTGCTTTTTGATTTGCTGACTTCATAAAACAGACAGATATGATTTGCTTTGTATCATTTCATCACTCGGGGAATAATTTTCTCCCTTTTTGACTGATTACAATTTTCATCTACTGTTTTGTTTAAAAAGTTGAATCATTCTTCCTTTCTAGTATAGAGTATTTGATAATGTAATTCAATCACATTTCACGTCTGGCACAAACCTCCCCTCCAGCTTTTGGATATGACTTATATTTAACCATGAGGTTTTTGCTGTTGGAATATCAGCTACTCTTAAGTAAGTAAAAGCACGTGTGCCAAGCACATCATTAACTGAACTGACTGAAGATCAGAAAAGCAAGTACTACAACTAATATTGCTTGGAAGCCACTAATGAGTATATTATAGATTGAAATATTTCATTTGATCCATTAGTTGTTTTATTATTATCTGTATCACTGTCAGTAATATGAATCTTTTAAAAAAAAGAACTCAAAATCCATTAGTTTTTAAGGCACTGTTCAAATGAAAGCAGTACATTATAACTGAAACTATTTCAAGTGAGAACGAGAGACCGTTCCCTAATTTTGATAAATATGCATTCCAGCTACAATCATCTCTCAGACACGATGTGTCTATTTCTAAAAATAAATATTAATAATACAGATGTGTATTTAAGGTTTTTTCTATTTTATTCCATTCCTCAGGAGATATTGACATGCAAGCATAGCTTTAAAACTTCTACTGCATTTCCTTTTATAAATAGACTAACTGCAAAAGAGCAGTCCAAATACCATGTACACTGGAGTGATCATGAGTTTACTACTGTCACCAAAAGAATAATTCTTAAAGTAGGGCTTAGAGTAAGTTGAAGGTATAACAAATACAGAATTTAAAAAATAAGGTAAAAAAAGTGTAATCAGTTGTAATTTTGTGGTAAAAGGAAGGGGATAACTTTTTCTTGCAAAATAAGATTAAAAAGATAAATACATTTTTACACAGTGCAAAATTTACCTGAAAGAACTGCTCACTACACAAAAGAAGTGAACTAAATGGCTTCAGAAAGTACTGATATTTGATGCAAGAATCAGAACGGAAAATGGCTCTGGAGATACTTGCACTACTTTCAATATAGTATATAAAAGTATAATCTACCCAAAAACTGGACTGGCAGAAAGACTTCTTCATGGGCCACATGGTAAGTGTTTAACAAGGTGCTGACTGACATCAGTGGGGTGTTCTAAGTCTAGATGCAAAGTTCAAGGCTTTATGTTTTGCAGGTGCTAATGGAAATGAACAATATCTACTACTGCAAACATGCTATTTCACTGTTCTCAGCTTTTGAAATGTGAGAGGACCTGAAGTATTTTCTTACTACCATTTTTTATTACCACTATCCTAGTCTTACAGTCCATCCTGGCATTATTACAAGTCTTGGAATAGTATTTTCTTAATGCTTGAATTATAACAGATGCATTTACTAAGTTATGATCTTAGTTTGCCTTTAAGGGCTTCCAACTTGTTACAAAAGGAAAGCTCGTTTAAATAGTCATGGTCACCTAGTGTCTGACATCCTTATGGATTTGTACTTCAGTGGTCATAAAGGTTTTTCTTTGTTAAGGCATTTTTAAGGTCTTCTTTCTGTGTGAATTCTCTGGCCTTCATAAAAGATTAACTCACACTGCAATGTTTTCTCACTTGTGGTATACAGAGCTGTTTGTTTCCATGAAAGAAAACTGTAGAAAGTCAGTTATCTTTAAGGCCATTATTTTTTTATTGCAGTTGGTAGAAAGCCAGCAATAGCACAGGAGGGAACTCTTCCAGGCTCTTGCATTCCACAGTTAGAAGAGAGATTAAATCAAGTATGGAGGCAAGACCTATTTGCCAAGCTGAAAAGAAGAATCCAAGAAGCCATGGGATACGTGAATCCAGCAGGCAAGGCACAACTATGACTAGAGGGCCACTAAGGTGCCCAGACTGCCAGGCAGACTCCACATTGGGAAGAAGGCAAGTTTGGGCGAGTTCGGGCAAGTTCAGAGAGGCAGTTGGAAGACGGACATGGGGAACAGGAGAAAGGAAGAAGGACTAACAGATCAGCAGTGAACATGTGTACAGAATGGCCAGCAGCAACAGGTGTCCTTTACTCATATATCGTGTGGGCAGAGCAACTATGAGTCAGACTTGCAGACACTTACACTTTGAAGTTTCCTGGTGGCAGATGGCTTGTCTGGGTGTAGCCTGCAAGCAGCTGATTAAGACATTCAGAGTTATTGTAGGAGAAACATGGACATGCAGTATAAGCTTTTTTCCCAAGCTAAGAAACAATGTCGGGTTTTGTTGTTTTTTTTTTTAGCAGTAGAATTATTATTTTAAAATCAAAATAAAAAAATAAATTGATTGTGACTCATTTTCAAATGCTTTGGATTGGTACATGTTTCATACAACAGCTGTGGCCATAATTCTTATCTTTTTTTATGAGTACATGAAGGTGATCGTGTTGATACTAGTCAAAATATCTGCCCTTCTTTGCAACTCAGACTACGCAAACTTTTGCAACTCTTCTTTGCAACTCAAAATTTGTATGGTTACCTACTTTTCACTTCCATTTCTTCACCAGCTGTGGGAAGGAATTTCTGAAGCCAAAAACCTCTGAGATTTACACATGGAACATTTTTTTCCTGTACGAAGTTGGGAGGACATGGGGACAGCACACTTACCACAGAACCGCCTGATTCCTCACACATTTTGTGAGATCTACCCTGCTCATTGCATAAATAGACTTGTTCTTCAGTCATTACGCTCCCAGTGCTTCCCTGTGTTGTACAGATACTTTCATATTTAAACGTCTTCAGGTTAGACTCCAAGTACTGTAACCCAAATTTACCATAAACATCCGTAAACCTTTCAACTTCAGGGCCCAAAATATCTCAAAATAAGGTCAAATTGTTTTGCATATTACGATCCTTATGTGATCCTCATTCCTGCTGACTCATGCTTGTTTCTACCTTCAGTTATTTGTCTTGAGCTCTTTATCCAGTAAGTTTATTAAAAAATAATACACCTGAACACCTGAGCCGTGTCGCTACACTGAAGGGCGGACATTTCCGAGAAAATTTCTGATAGGGATACACCGCCAGCAAACTTACTTATCGGGTTTCATCTTTGCACCAGCCTCTCGACGTTCTGCTCTCAAACCAAAGTTTTCTACATTAAAGCGCTTTTTGAAAAGGAGTTTTGAAACGAGCGCTTGAGAAAGTGGCACTCGCGGGGCGTCCCGCAGCCGAGACGGGCTGAGGAGGGTCGAGGCGGCGCGGCCCGGGTGGCCCCCTCCTACACCGGCGTCGAGACATGTGACAGAGCGACTTCTGTCCTGAAGCTTCCGAAGGGGAAGCGGCGGGAGAAGGCTTCTCTCCACTCCTCCGGCTCCCGCTGAAGCCACGGCCCCAAGGGGGAGGCGCCGTCCCTGCCACCGTCACTCTCGCAGGTGCAACCACGGGAGCGAGCAACGCCGAGAAGTGCCCGCAGAGGCTGCCTCCTCCAGGAAGAAACAGTCCCCGCCGCTGGGCGGGAGTCTCCTCACTGAGGTACGGACAGGGCGCTCGTTCCCTCGCCCCGCCCCGCCCAGTCAGGGCGACCGTTAACGGCCCCCCGCGCCGCTCGCCCCCCGCGCCAGAGCTGGGCTGGGCTGGGCTGGGGCGGGAAGCAGCCCCCACCCCAACGAACCCGCGAGCAGAGAGGCGGGGGTCGTGTTTGTGGCTGGCGCTTAGCCCGGCCCAATGCTGCACCCTGCGCCCGCCGCCCCCCACCTTAGTGCCCTCCTTCCGCCAGCTGCCGGCCCCACCTGCTGCGGAGCCGCCCCGGGCCCTAATGCTGCCGCCCAGGAAGCAGCGGGCCACCCCGGTGGGGCCGGGGACGCGGCAGGGGGGCTTCTCCTCTCGGGGGCCGTGGCGGCCATAAAGGGCCGGGGAGCGGGCGGCGCGGCACTGCGGTATCGGGGCGGCCGGCCGGCCGGTGGGGGAATGCGGCACAGGGGAGCGGCGGCATCTGGCGGGAGCAGCTCCTCCCTCCCGCCGCCGCCGCCTCCTTCTCCGCCGGCAGCGGCTTCTGACAGAGTGTTTCCATCCGGCGGGAGCGCCGGTGGCGCGACCCACCCCTGCCCCAGCATGGCTTTCCCCGGGGCACTAGGTAAGTCCCGAGGCAGGCGGCAGCGCCGTGCCGGCCTGGCCCGGGATAGTGGTGGTGACCTTGGCAGCCGCCTTAGTGGGAACGGACCCGAGGCGGCCGTGACCGGGCTCCTGCGCCTCATGGCCCGGTCGGGCCGCAGCTTCTCGCGGTGGCGGGATGCGGCTCCCTGCGCTGTCAGCTGGCTATACGGGAGGGGGGGGTGGTGGTGGTTGAAGGCGGCGGCGGTTGTCGTTCTTGTTTTCATGGCGTGTGCTCATTACATATTCAAGCTCATTACATTCCTGATCAATAGTTGCTTTTAAAATAATCATTCCATCATTTTATTTTTTTTTAATGCAGTATGCTTCAATGGCTTTCTTCTACAAAGGTGCAGAACCAAAGAACAACTAAGCAGTCTTTCTGTGAGAGTGGTTTAGGAAAAGAGCATTTGCTGGTTGCTGGATGGCATTCATACCCCCTTCCTATCCCATCAGTATGTCTAGTTGCTGCTCTCCCAGTTGCTCACCTTGGGTAAAGGACAGCATTTCTATAGAGGGATACTGGATACAAGATCCTCATCGCTTTTGCAGTTCAGGATGGCATAGCTTGCATGAGTATTGTGTCAAGTGCCTCATGACTATTTTAGGTTTATTAAGCTCATTTCAGTGACATAAGCTAGCAGTGATGTGGGTGAACCTACCTTTCGAAGTGTTTTGCTCCCTGGTCTCACATTTGTTTGAGTGGGGAACATGAGATCAGGTTCTGTAAGAAAGAAAAAATACCCAACACTTTGGTCTTGGTAGAATACTGTACTTGTATCACTTCATTTTGACTTCGGTATGACTGTAAAGATTTAAAATATAGTATGATTGCTTAAGCAATGTGGTTCCGACTGCATTTTGTTTCTGGTTACAGTTCTCTAAGAGAAAGTTAACTTACGCTAGGCAAATGCTCAGCCAGTGATAAACATACAACCAATTGATTTTTCCTGGCTTAGCTAGTAGTGAAGATGTTTTGATTGCTGATTTAGAACCAGGAGAAGCATTATAATTCCACATTTTACTATTATTGCTAGCACTCTTAATGGGGCCAACTACCTATAATGTTCTTGCATGGCTGAAATGGCTAAAGTGGCCCTGTTGCTGGGAACTACATGTATGGCAGTTACTGTTGCTGACAACTGTGTTCACTGAGGTCAGTGGAAAGACTCCCATGACTTCATTGAGTTTTGAAATTGAGAAACCGAATCTAAGTTTGGATGCTTATGAGACATCATACTGGATTGTCATTGAATCATTCAGCCAAATATGTAGGTATTTTTATGTTTCTTATGTAGCTGTACTTGATTTTATGAAGACTTAATGCTAACTGCAAAACAATACTTTCCAGGCAGAAAAGCTGCAGAGTCAGATCCATAGTTCTTCAAAACCAGTGATGTTTTTCTGCTGTGATGTGAGGTAGTTTTTACAAAATAAGAATACAAAATAATGTAGATGATCCTTACATTGCCATATTTATGGGCCATTTATGGGCCAGTATATCTCTTGTCACCTTTTTATACTGTATTTGCTTTTAGAATAAAAGCACAAGTGTTCTCAAGGCAACTCTGAAAACAGGTGGACATTAATTAGAATCGTTTAGGCTGAAAACAACAGGATCACATATCAAAAGGATCACATATCAACATCTGAAACTTGCAGCATGCCTGCAGAAATGCTGTAGTGGGGGCCCTGATAAGTTATGCCTGGAGCAATTAAAAACTGTCATGCTCATTTTCAGCATACATCACTATGTAAACGAATACCATCTTATAAAATATGCTTGTGTTTTTGTAACCAAAAGATTGTGAAATGCCAGTTTTGGACCCAGACTTCACATTGTGACAGTGCTTGGATCCATTTGTTGTGACATGTTCATCGCTATTTTTAACTTTGGTAATAAGAATTTAATCTTATTTGTTACAAGCTCCATCATACTGAAGACATTCAAAAAGCTTTATAGTACATAATGAATAATGCTGGTCAGTAGCTTACAAAGCCTATATTTTTTTCCCCTCCAGAATGCTACCAGATATGTGTAAAGCCCATACCCTATCTGCTTCCCACATACAATTCAAAAGCAGGATACAAAGTACTGAAAACAAATGAGGGGGGAGGTGGGAGAAGTCACACCATATTTGCTCCTGTTGTGCAAGCATTTTACTTCAAAGCAGTTCCATTACTTTCTTATTTGTGGAAAGGATGGCGTGAGGTAGAAATGTGCAAACTGCTCTTCTAACCTGTTTGTGGCTCTCAAATTCATTCAAAGTCACTGGGCAACTGGGTGAATGTGATTTCCAAGTTCAGTACAAGTATGTACAGCTATGTATACGTTATATCACAAATAATATAGCCTGGCAATGCAAGTAAGTGGAATTTACTGGCAAATCTGTACGTACATATCTTAAGAATGTCTTAAAACCAAGAAGTGGCTGGTTCACAAATTGGCATGGCTACACAAGTAAAGATTCTTAGTGGATACCTATGGTTCTTGTGTACTGCATACTGGTTTAAATTGCGTGTAGCTGTTCTACTTTATTCTGCTTTTGCTCTAAGCTCTTAATTTTGATAGGTGTACCATGAACCGCCCCCCAGTCTCACACATCTTTATTCTTGTAGTTATAACTGTGTCAACTGTCTTCCTTATTAGCTGAGATGCCCAGACAGTTTCCAAAGTTGAACATCTCTGAGGTTGATGAGCAAGTACGACTTCTAGCAGAGAAAGTATTTGCTAAAGTTCTCCGAGAAGAAGACAGCAAAGATGCATTGTCACTATTCACTGTGCCTGAAGACTGCCCTATTGGGCAGAAAGAGGCCAAGGAGAGGGAGCTGCAGAAGGAACTGGCAGAACAACAGTCTGCAGAAACAGCTAAAAGGTTTGTTCAGTAGTTTCTTTCTTAGTGGAAAACAGTTTTTTAAATGGGTTTAAGTTAATATTGAAATAACTGGCAAATAACATCCTGCTTCTTAATACTTAAGGAGAAAGTTCAGCAGCAGGTATCAAGGGCACCTGTGTACTATCCTATACTGTGCAGAAGGTGTGGGGATGAGTCGTAGGGAGGTTGGATTGGTGAGGTTGTCTCAGCTGCATTTCCTGCAATAGCATGGATACTGCTCATGCAAGTTTAACAGACAGCATAGCTGGGTAGAAGTGAACACAACCCAAAGACTTGAGGCAGAAAAAGAAACACTTTCTGCTCCCCCCTTTATTCTAGTTTAATTTGGAAAACCAGAAAATTTTGTCACAGAGAAAATGACAGTGGCATGATGTTTCTTTTAGTCTCCGTAAAAATAGATGAAAGCAAAGACATCACATTTAACATCAAGGGAGAAGGTGAAAAGTGCCATTGGCATAATGAGATTATTTGTAGGTTTCCTTAACTCAGAGATAAAATCTAACCACTAGTAGTCATAAAAGCACACATCTTGAATTTTCTCAGGGAAAAAAAAAAAAGGCCAGTCCACCCATGAATGTAATGAAGCCAGACCTCCTGTGAAAGAGGTGGCCTTATCCTGGTATCAGGCTGTTCCAGTATCTGAACTTCAGTGGACTGGCTGGACTGTTCCCTGGAGTCACATGAGCTTAGCAGCAGTCTGACACCAAATGGCTTGGACATACACAGACTCTTCGAAAAGCAAGCAAACAAGGAAGCCTTTGAAAGTGATAGCTAAACACATGTACTAGGTTAGCTGCAGACAATCAGTTGGGCAATGCTTTGCATCATATTTCTGGAACAGAAGGGAGAAGCGTTAATCTAGTTAAGGTATGACACACTGACGATACAGGCTGAGATTTCTGGTCTTGAATTGTGCAAGTGTGTTTCCCAGTTGGCATGTTCATAGACATAAGCAAGCACAGAAGGGAAAAACTAGATGTTTTCATTCAAACAACTATTTGGTATCTATTTCCTCCTGAATTTAATAAGTTTCACTTCTAATTTAGGAAACTGTCTTACAGAAATATGTTCTGTCAAACTACCTCAACTTTTGTACCAGTTTAACTGTGGGAAGTGGGATATTATAAGTATGTTGTTTAGAAGTGGGAACAGAACAAGTATTCATCCCTGTCCTGTGGGACTGAAGTGTACTTCAAGGACAGTTACATGATTAAAACTTCTTTTGGTTTCAGTTGTATTTGATCCAACACTGCCTTTCAAGAATTTCATGCTGATTTCTAAGGTGGCTACAAGTACCTAAGAGAGGATGGAATTTAATCATAGGGTATTAATTATACCAGCACTCCATGTTCTTATTCTTAAGAATTTCACAGAATATGCAACTTCCAGAGAGTATTCCAGTATTCCTTTTTTTTCTTAGTGGTTTTACTGTCATTTTAACATTTTGGCATCTAGTTTATAAAACAAGGAACTATTTCCACAGTGTGAAAGTGATGTCACAACTAGTTTATAACATAGTTACTTATTGTATGAGTATTTAAAATACATTTATATAAATGTAAACTGAGTAAGGAAAATAAATTAATTTTTTGGAGATACTCCAAAACTTCACTTGAGATACTACTTCATGGAGAAATACAACATTTTTTTTTTTAGCTGATTTGTTGGAGGTACGCGTCTGTCACAGTTGCATCAAAATTTCACATGTAGTCATTCAGTTAAAGTTGTGAAAAAAAAGATGAGCGTGTAGCCATTCCTTAGGCAGTGTTTGGTGAGACTTGAGCAAAAGGCTAATATTAGTTATCAGAGTAATGTAACATAGCATGGCTTTGATACACAAGTCCATTCCTTCCCTCAGGGCACTAAATGGCTAAATTTGTAAGAAGAAAAAATAAACGTAGGGCATCTTACAGGGATTGTAAATAAATTCTGTCATACTGTGTTCATGTGGAGGATAAGTGCAGTTGTGTGTATCAGTGTCATGTGAAATGTCAATAGAAAAAAGCTACAAGCACAAATATTTTGTGGCTATTATTTTTTCCTGTGCTATGAGAGATAGCATTTGTAAAATTTCATAGGGGGTAATTTCTTTGCTGCAGTCAGTTTTCCAGTGTATTCAGTATTTTATACCATGGCTTATTTTTATGCTTTATACCGTGAATTTATAGGAAGAAAAGCTTCAAGATGATTCGATCCCAGTCTTTGTCATTACAAATCCCATCTCAGGAATGGAAAGCGCCATCGACCAATCCTGTTCTGTCTCCTGCAACACCAGTTGTTCCAAGTGCTTTTCTGCCAATTCAAGTGCCATACAATGTACCAGAGTTTCAGAGAGTTTCAATTAGTGGGGACTACTGTGCAGGGGTAAGAAACCTTTTTTATGTTGGGGGAGGAGGGTGAATGCCAAACCATGGGCAGCTAATGTGTATAAAGTGTGACATGACAGTGTGTGGCTCCCTGCCACAAACTGTAAATTGCCTTGTGAACCCATTAATTTGTAAAACAGTTAAAGTCAAGGTCAGGTCGTTTTATATTTTTTACCTATTGGATTTGGTTTTTTTATGATAAAAGCATAATCAGGCATTCAATAAATGGGTAATATACTGTAGGAGGAAAAAAATGTGTATTTTGCCTATTGTATTTGAATTCTGTTTCTGTCACTGGCTTCCTGAGACTTTGGGCAAGATCCATACTGTCAAGCCAGATACACTAATCTTTCTGGAAATGCAGTCTCCTTGTTACTGGTGTGGGTTCAGTTTGTTGCTAAAACTGCTGTTTTGTTTTTGTCAGTATTCATCTAGGCTTTCCTTTCAGGTTACAGTTGATGATTATGAACAAGCTGCCAAGAGCCTGGTGAAAGCTCTTCTCATTCGAGAAAAGTATTCTCGTCTTGCCTACCATCGCTTCCCAAGAACAACATCTCAGTATTTGTGTAGCATGCAAGATGAAAAATGGAGGGTTGAAGATGAAGTGTATCCAGGTGAATATCCTTGTTCTCTTTAAAAATGTAGAATTAAACCCATGCACTGCTGTCATTAAAGGTAAGTTGGATTTTTGGGATGATCTCTTCTGAGTGTCTTTGCCTCTGTAGTTTATTCTGTTAGTAAGTGGTGGAGAATTACTGATGGACCTGAGTTATAAATCCTGTGTCTAATCTGAAACTTTGAAGCTGTCGAAAGATAAAACCCCACACACTAGACGCTCATTGATATTTTTGTTTTGTTTGTTCGTTATTTTTGTAAGGAGTACAATTGTGTAGCTCCAGAAAAAAAAGCTATGTGGATATGGTTTAAAGTGAAGAGTCATTTATCCTGATCTTGGCATACTGAAATAAAAGGGATTATGAGCTCATCTTCATTGTAAACTGAAGCACGGTACAGACATGCCAGTTAGCAAGCCCTGAGTCAGTAATTTCACAGTCATGGTACACTTACCAGGTCAAGGCTGAAAGCTGTATAGTCGTATTTGTTGGGCATTCTGCCCAGTTTAATAAACCCTCATCACTCAACAAGACTTATTAGCTTGACTATATTCCCCACGATAAATGTCATAGGTGATATTTGTCGCTTAGGTGGGTTGTGTCTTGAAAGCTTTGCTTGTGCATTAAACTGTTGTCACTGCTAGTTTTGGATTTGTGTGTGAGGAGTAAACTTTGGTCTGTACAGATGTGCCACTGTAGATGTGTCCATATTGTTTTTTTAATGTATTCTAAACTATAAAGGGACATTTTAAATCAAGTACTCTCTAGCTCAGTGGTTTAAAGAGGGTAAATGAATTAACATGTTTTTCAAGCCTTTATTATGCAGAAAGAATGTAAAGAATATTGAAAACAGGAAAGATATTTTGGAACAGCTAACGAGATATTTTCAAGCTATTATTAAGTTAATAACTTATTTACAGTTATCATTTTTAAACTTTATCTCATTACACAGTGTCTTAATTGGCACAAATTTGAGCTGGATAGTCACAAACTGATACCATTCTTATTTCTAATATTGATACTATACATTCAGGTGCTTTAAGTGAATAAAAGGACCAGTTAATTATTTTTTTGTCTTGGCTTACCTGAATAGGTAAAAGAAGTAACCTGACAAGTCTGAGCCCAACAATGCGGTTCAGTCGACATAAATGTGGTTGGGGCACATACTTTGTGCTGGTTTCAGTGGTAAGATATTGTAGAAGCAGCATTGAAAATTCGCTAACATGAGCAATAGTGTTTAAGTGTTCACGTAAGCTGAATCTCCCAGAAGTGTGTGCATTTACCTGATTCTCAAAAAAAAACGAACCCCAAAATTGTTATTTTGTAAAGGGATTATAAAACTGCACTGAACAAATCCCAACTGTTCTTCTGGTACTTTATGATTTTGGTCATGATCAGAAGGCCAAGGGGAAAATTGTAGCTGTTTTTTTCTATCCCTGGCTTCTACACTTCTTGGTTCTACAAAAAAAAAAAAAAAAGAGTTTTATTTAAAAAAGCAAACAAAGACAGACCCTAAACACAAACAAACAAAACCCACAAAAAAACAAACCCCAACCAATAAAAACACAGCAAAACCAACCAAACCCAAATAAACCCTACAAGCCATCCACTGCCTTGGTCAGAGTGAGAAGCACTGAGTTGGAAGTTATTTCCTGCTCACTGGATTGTGAGAATGGCAGAGGTGAAGTAAGGCACAGCCTGTTCTTTTCTGACAGATGTTTCAAGATGAGAACAACTGCATTACTGTGTGCTTAAATACAAACTAACAAAATTACTACAGTGAGTCAGAAGGTGGAAAAAAATGTTGGGTACTAGCAACTGTTTTATTGTTCAAAAATCTCAACTGTACTTTCAACAATACTAAATTAAGTATTTCTGAAAACTTATTTTGAAACTTGTGCTGTCATACATGAATAAAAAATAGTATTAGATCTATTTAGACGTTGATTCAGAGAGCTCTAATATATGATATTTGAAATAAGGTAGGTACTTAGCTTAGAGAGGGACTGCAGTTAAAGCTTGTCAGAATAAAGCTGTGTTGTTACAACAGGTCTTTTATAGTAACTGAAAATGTGAATTTAATAGGAAAATTAAGATCTTTTTTAAATGAAACATTATAGAAGCAAAAGGTCCTTTTTGTAATTACTTTGCTTTTTATGCAAGCTATTTTCTCTAAATGTGATGTAAATTTATTTCCAGATTTCCATTCACCCCCAGAAGAAAATGAAGATCCTTACAATCTTGAGGATGCTCCAGACAATTTGGATTATGTTATCAAGATAAAAGGTGGCATTCCCTTTGTTTACGATAACAAAGAAATGATGGAACTCAATGAGCCTCGGAGTCTGCCATATCCTGACCTTGAGACATATACCCTTGACCTGAGCCACGTTCTTGCTCTTATTGCAGATGGTCCAACGTATGTTTCTTTCTTCTCTGTCCCTTCAGGCTGCTGGTTACCTTGTTTTAATACTTCTCACTTTTGCAATATCTAATTCCTCAGTATACTCATTATAAAGTACTGTTTTGTTTTCCTCTTAAGCATTACTTAAAAGTAAAAAAAGCCAAGTACAGATATATTTAATTTCTTTAGTTTATCTACATCGACTGTGGCAAAATGAGAAGCAGTTAACAGAGAAGCAAGAAATTGGCCAAATGTTCCCACTGGAGTCAGATCTCATCCAAACTTCTTGAGGCATGGAAACTGAAACTTGAACCTTGCCTCTCTTGTTTTGGCCTGTACTGAATTTGAGGGTTTTGAACAGTTGTCTGGAATCTCTTCATGTCTGTTCTACTCCTGCTGCATGAAGAGAAACCCTGCATTTGTAGAGCATACAGAACAGCTCAGAAACATAGATAACTCAGTCTGATTTGTTCCAGATGTGAGTTAACTGCTCATGTGTTGCAAAACTGATCCACACACGCACCATCAAAATAGGTCTGAAATTTCCCAGAACCGTCAAACTCCTGGGAAATCTCTAAAAACTAGAAACTTAACAACTCTAGAATAATCACTGACACATTTGTGACAAAGTAATGTCCTTGTCCAGTACATAATGAACATGTACATCCAGGTTTTTCAGTTTACTTCCCAGCTGAGGACTGGAACCATCAGGGTTTCTCATGGCCTCAACACTAGGAAAGGAAAAGAATCTACCCTTAGATGGAACAAAGCAGGAATCTGACTGTTGTTTGAACTATTTGCCCTGCCTGCCAGCGCTACATTTCTGGTCCTGCCAGTGGAAGATCATCACTTACAATGTCACAAGTTAGTCGCACCTGGTGCATTCTTTCCCTTTGACTCTGTGTCTGACACCTGCAATGTGATTTGTCTTCCTTGCATATTGATAGTGACAAAGCAGATGGGCTGAACAGAACTGCCCCATTCCCTAAGGGCTTTTTCAAGAGCAAAGCCTATGTTTCTGTCAGCATTATCAGCACTGCTGCTCCAAATCAAAGCTAGTTTGATTATGCTTTGTTTATGGTATGCAGTGGGGAAATGCATTTCCAGTTTCAGCATGTTATATTCCAAGAGACAGATACTGAGAAGATAAATGACAAGGAGGAAGAAGTTGAAACACAAGTCATAGTGAAGACCCTTCTTTTTGCAGCTTTTGTTAACAATATTTATCAGGGAGCCTTAAGAAGGGCCTTGGAGGATGTTAGAACACCCAGCACCTTTGTGAATGCAGGAGCAGTTATCTACTCCTTTCACTTCTTCAGGTTAAGCTTTTGCAGGGTGATTCACATTTCCTGGTAAATACACACAAACCAAAAGGGAAGAGTCCAGTAATCCTGGAAGTAAAGAGCATAAGCTTTTTATATGGTATTGTTTTCCTGTTTGCAGCAAGTGCTTTCCTGCCATTTATGTCTGTCACACATGGAGCTGCTTGGAGATCAAGAACCCATTACTCTAAACTTCACTGTTCTTTAACTGGTGAAAGTCTCACCTGTACTCCTCAGTTTTTCAGTGTCTTGAATAACAGAAAACCCAACAAAGACTTCCTTCAGTGGGCAAATGTGTTTTGATCAATATCAGATACAAAGAGACTGTGTTTGAATTGGACTTTCAAGTGCATGATGGGATTTGTGTCCCACTAAGGAGACACTGTTGACAATAAAGCAGAAAAAAGAAGGCTGTTACCTGACTAGTGTTACAAAAATATTGTAGATTCACTAAGAATTGACAGATGGTGAAGGGAAAAAAACATATCATTGGTTAAAAATAGAAAGAGAACCATAACACAAGATGAAAGCAAAGACAAAGTAGGCAAGCAGAAACAAAAATGCATGATTTTTTCAAAGAAGAACAAAAGAAAGTATTTTAGAAAAAAGGTATTTCTACACAATATATGTGTTTTAAGGCATAACAAATGTAAGTGTACTGGATCATAGCTTGGCTTCTTATGTTCGCATTGAAAAAGCAAATAACCTGGGGAGTTGTTTGAATTTTTGTTGTTTTTGTGTTTTTTTATGATACCCATAGTGATCTGTAGTCTGGATTCCTGGTGGTTTGTTATATATGAGGTGATCTGCTCTATTGAAGGTATAGTTTCAGAGTTGTAGCAGTTGAAATCACATTTGATTACAGGCTTTATGCTTTCTCTGTTCATCATTATTGAAAAAACTGCATTATATGCACAGATGCAGTGATAAATACTTGGACTACTTAAAGGACATAACAGTTCCGTAGAGTTCTGTTTGAGGTTTGGTCTGAAATCATATTGGCTATCGATCACTAACCAGTAGGATAAGAAGAATGGATTTATCTTGGTCTTCATAAAAAAAAAAAAAAAAGAAATTGTGAAAACTTTCAAGTTCTTTCTGCACTTAAAATAGAAATAGTTTTAAGTTGACTTTTGTGTTTTCTTTTACAGAAAAACGTATTGTCATCGGAGGCTTAACTTTTTAGAATCTAAATTTAGTTTACATGAGATGTTAAATGAAATGTCGGAATTTAAAGAATTAAAGAGTAATCCCCATCGAGACTTTTATAATGTGAGAAAGGTAAGTGTGGGAAAAGGGTTAAAGGCATGCCACTGTGAGTAGGAGTTACAGCAATTTTGCTTTTCTTGCATGAGGTGTAGATGATATACATGAAGTGATGTGTGTATAGCACTCAATTGAACTACATTATTTTAAGAGTATTAAAATTGCTCTACATGGGAACATGCCAGGAAAATGAACTTGAATGCAAGTGGGTTAATTGGATTAGGCTAAATGAATCTGTTTTACTTATCCAGAATCAAAGGAGCTTAATTGTATGTAGATTGCTTCAAAGGAGGGAAACAGAGTTAATCAAATAAAGCTCACTTCGATTATGAATAGAAATATGCACATGGAGGTTCAATTTATTTTAATTAATTCACTTGAAGTCAGTCAAATGCATTTTCCTGCTTTCATGTAGGTAAGTCATACTAGACTGTAGTAGGAACAGCTGTATAGGTTTTGGGTGAAAATTTAACTTCATATGGAAAATAAGCATTTAAATATGTGTAAAAATTAAAAAGACCTCCCACAGAAACTGAACAGAGGGTTTGTGCTGCCATCAGTATCTGGTAAAAAATGTCTATGGAATCTGAAATAAGTTATTTGAGTTACATTCTTAGCTGTCTCTAAGATATGCTGGGGGTGTAATTAGGAGACAGGTAGGGGAATGAGGGAGCTGATTTAATTTCCTGATGTATTCACACCCAGGGGAGCTGCTTTCTCTTCAAAGCATGGAAGCACCAGTGTTAGCCTGCTTCTGTTTGCTTCCCTTTCTTGAACTTAAGAGGAAGTTAGTGGGGAGAGAATGCTTTTTTGATAGGTGAGATTTCTTCACAAAGCAGTAATTGTGGCTGGTGTTTTTAACCACTTCAGACTCATTTTGCATTGTTTCTATGTGCAACTGGAATACTTGGTCCTTATGTTGTAACTTCAGGGTTTAGATCGATACTTCAATCTGTTTATGTTTTAATTAGTGTAATTTAATTAATTACACCAAGAAGTCATTTTTGCTTTTTCCAGTAGTGTCCAGTATGCTGTCTGCTGAATGTTTGCCACTGTTGTGGTAAAAACAATCAAATACAAAATCTGCTAAACACAAGTGTTTGATGGATGTACTCCTGTCTATCACAAGGCTAGAAGCAGATGGTTGGTAGGTAAATTTCTAATGAATTTCACACTTTTATCTGTTAAGTGTATGAACAGGAGGATCTATCAGCTAATTCACTTAAAGCAGGAGTCAAGTGGCAGAGGCTTGACTCCTAACTTGACAGTTTTCTTGCATAACCCTGGAGAAGGTACTTACCATACCACATTCAGAAAAAACATTTCCCTAGGTGACGGACATTAATAATAAAACATATGGTGATGGGGAGGTGTGAAGGACAGAGTTGTGGATCAGGTAACTGCCTTAGACAGTCAATTTGATTACGGAGAAGTTGTAATTAACAGGATTGTACTTGCTAAGTTCAGCCTTTGATTTAAAAGCAAACATTCCATGTCTCTGAGCATATCTTAATTATTTTCTAATTATTTGCTATTAAATAAAGCAATCTACAAATGGATTAAAGTTGTTCAAAACTACAAAATTTCCATCACTTCCACTCTATCAATACTCAAATTGAGGAGTGCAGGAACAAGCTTGCTTTTCTCTGCCACAGGTCATTCCTACTGCCAGTTATTGCTTGCTGCAGAGTTAGTCTTGCTTAAAATAGTATTCTTCTGAAGCGAGCTTACAAGCAGTATTTTTATGAAGCACTCTGAAAAGTAAATTGCATTGTAGAGTTCCTGCAGGTCCCCAGTAATCTTGTTTTCCATGTCTTGCTAACTCATTTAATGACTGGATCTGTAACTTCCCCAAAATGCTTCCTTCCTAATAACAGTTTTAGCAGTGAAACTTGTAATACGAAATACACTTCTAGGGCCTACATTTTCAGGTTGTCTCTTTGTTAGTCAATCTTTAAACAATGTGTACTGCTTATAAGGAAAGCAAGAAATAAGATTCACCACCCAACAGAGTTATTAGTGAAGTTATCTATTACATCCCTCAGACACTAGTGTGGAAAACCTGGTAAAATCCATTTGATTACATAAAAGAGCCAATGTAACTGATGGAAAATGCCCAAATTAAAACAATTATGAATGTAGTGTCAAGGTCAGTCAGTGAGCATGTACTGCTGTAGTTAGAAAGGTACAGGAAGCTGGCCAGCATTATTTGCTGGCATGACAATGAAAGGTTACTGTGGTGTGGGCTGTTTTTTTTTCCTTCTCCCCTAGTTTTCCAGGTTTTATGGGAGTTCTCCTGTGAGCTTGTCTATTTAATAAATCCCAAGATAAGGCTCCTGCTAAGTAAGGGAAATGCACATGTGTATCTTTCATAGTGGACCTAATCAGAATGCAACCAAAGATATGTTTTGCACTGATCAAGCTGGAACTGGAAAATTCCCTTTTAATAACCTGACAGATACATCTATAGACAAAAATCCACAGGTGTTAAAGACTGGCTGGCTCCACTTGGTTCCCCACAGGAGGTAGACAACTGTCTGAGTTGGAGAATGCTTTAGAGAAGACTCTTGAGTTTACCATTAGCAGGGCTCTCCCATCTTCTCTGGCTGATGAACTGAAAAATGCGGTAAAAATAGGTTCTCCCCACAGCTCCTGGGTTGCCTGCATTAAGGATGAAATTAAACAGGAGTGCAGCTCTGTGGTGACAAACTTAGAACTGAGTTTTAGTTTGTCTATTAGAGTGTCTTGCCTTCCAAAGCAAGTGTGTGAGGCTTTTTGAGCGGAGCTTCCAGTAGACCACTGTGCTCAACAGCCTCTGATAATTCAGAGCTGATTGATAATGCAGTTTCTAAGCTGAAATACACCTTCAAAGTAAAGGACCAAGTGCTGTTCTTGTTATTAGGAACTTTGGTTTGTCTCAGTTGTTATTTCTAGGGAGGAGGTTGTTGCTTTTTTTGTTTAAAAAAAAAAGGTGAAACCAAGCTACTTGTTTACCTAACATGTACTTACTGCCTTGATAATATATATCCATGTATTGTGTTTGACACAGTTTTGTAAACAAGAAAATTACAGCCTAAGCCTCCTTCCATATTCTTCCTCTTTTTAGCCATTATTTCAGTCTGTCGGTAAACCAGACCTGATTGTATATCATAGCAGTGACTTTTACATGTCATACTCTTATAGAATCATAGAATAGTTAGGGTTGGAAAGGACCTTAAGATCATCAAGTTCCAACCCACCTGCCATGGGCAGGGACACCTCACACTAAACCATGTCACCCAAGGCCTTGTCCAACCTGGTCTTGAACACTCCCAGGGATGGAGCATTCACAACTTCCCTGGGCAACCCATTCCTATGCCTCACCACCCTAACAGGAAAGAATTTCCTCCTTATATCCAATCTAAACTTCCCCTGTTTAAGTTTTAACTCGTTACCCCTTGTCCTATCACTACAGTCCCTAACCAAGAGTCCCTCCCCAGCATCCCTATAGGCCCCCTTCAGATACTGGAAGGCTGCTATGAGGTCTCCACACAGCCTTCTCTTCTCCAGGCTGAACTTCTCCAGCCCCAACTTTCTCAGCCTATCTTCATATGGGAGGTGCTCCAGTCCCCTGATCATCCTCGTGGCCCTCCTCTGGACTTGTTCCAACAGTTCCATGTCCTTGTTACGTTGAGGACACCAGAACTGCACACAATACTCCAGGTGAGGTCTCATGAGAGCAGAGTAAAGGGGCAGGATCACCTCCTTTGACCTGCTGGTCACGCTCCTTTTGATGCAGCCCAGGATGCGGTTGGCTTTCTGAGCTGCAAGCGCACACTGAAGCCGGCTTGAGTTCATTTTCTCATTGACCAGCACCCCCAAGTCCTTCTCTGCAGGGCTGCTCTGAATCTCTTCTCTGCCCAGCCTGTAGCTGTGCCTGGGATTGCTCCGACCCAGGTGTAGGACCTTGCACTTGGCATGGTTAAACTTCATGTGGTTAGCATTAGCCCACCTCACAAGTGTGTTGAGGTCCCTCTGGATGGCATTCCAGATGGCATTCTTCTGCCTACAGCTTCACTAGCTCAGATGCCTGGCCTTGGGTGGCTCAGGCCAGGGGAGCCATCAATGGAAGAATGCAGTTTCTAGAGTGGATTGCACAGCCCTTCTGAATTGTGTGTTGCAGTAGCTGATGGCTGCTGTGACATACCATTTGGTCTAGGTCATCACAACTGATTAATTATTTTCTTTTAAGGTATTGGTTAGACAAAAAGGAAATAAATTCTAGCTTTTGTTTGTGACCACAGGGTTGAAATACCACTTGTTATTTCTGAGAAAGGATGTTTGAATGGGTTTATGGACTTGCAAATTTTATAGATTTCACAAAATATCGAATGAGATTAATCGATGTCTGTTTTTTAAACATATGATTAAAAGCCTTATGAGTGAACAGTGAATTTATACTTAAGTTCCCTGAACTTCGATTCTGAGGTTGAATCTTTTTTTCCATCCAGTAGCTACTTACTGACAGTGAGTGTGAAGACTTACGGGACAGCACCAGATTCAAAGGACAGGAGTGTCTCTTGTGCACCTCTCTTAGTATTACATGTAATGGTGCCTTACCACTCTTAACTGACATTAAAGCTGTACTTTGTGCTTTCAAAGCACTGTGCATACTACTTCTCCCCTTCTGTCTTGCAGAGGTGCTGAGGTAAATTTTTACATCTACCATCAGTCTTGCAAAGTAAGCATGAAATAATGACCCGGGAAAGCCATCCATCATTATAACGCAAAAATTCGGTACAGACCATAAAGAAAGCTTTTCCTCTATCCTCTTTTTTAGTAATTAAAAGAAATCAGTTTTACTTCTCAGCAGCGTATTTCTGTATTTGTGTGAATACAAACATTATAGGGCTTGATTCTGTGCATTTGCAATGCATACAGCCTCAGGAGAAGCTGGAGATATTGGATTTGCATCTCCTGTCTCTCCTGGTTTCGGGGTTGCTCTGGATGCCGTAAGTATGAATTAGAGAAGCTCCTGAGGGGCAGTGCCTGGCTTTAGGGACTATTTCAGCTGCCAGGAACTTTACTGTTCTGCCTTCTGCTAGGCTAGAGTATTTTGTATCTCCTGTCACTTATGCCTGTTACAGAGCTGTGAGGAAAGAATCAAGCTCATTTTACAAAGCTGGTGCATCCTATCTGAAAAAGTGCTGTATGAATGTATTGGTGAACACAGAATCCAGCAGTAGGATGTGGAGTGATTTCCCTTCAATCCAGCATTGAAGTAAAGACTGCACTGTCAAGCCCAGAGCTATCGGGGTAGAAATGTTTCTCTGTTAAAAAGTTCATGTGTTCAAAAATCAGGTAGTTTGCAAGTGTGGATACTACTTACTATACACTGAATTATGCACTGAATAATTTCAGTATCATTAGAAAGGCTGCTCTTGGCGTTTGTTTTTGCTGTATTTATCACTTTGAATCTAGAGCATATGCCTAATTCAATGCAAAACTATTTCTGACATGCACAGAGAAGCCCTGAGGTAGATGTTTTGTGAAGATCTGAAAGACAGTGAAAGAAAAAAGAAGCAATGCAGGAAGATGAAGGAGGCAAAGTAGTTTAGGGAAGCTGGTACTGGTGAGGCATGTTTTGAAGGCCAGTGAGAACTTCCTTTAAGCTGGAAGTTGTACACACATGTAACTATCTTGACTAAGAAGTACAAGCATCTCATCCACAAAGACTGAAGAGAGAATGGCATGGATGGTCAGGTCAAAAAGGTAAGGGCTAGCCTGAACTGAGTGCCAAGGAAGACAGGCTGGCTTTGTTACATGGAGAATTGCTGAGTGATCATCTTTTATTTGCAAGAAAACTGATGTCCACTATTGCTTGAATGGGGTGATGGAATTTAAAGAATGAAGGATAGCTTTGTGTTAACAGTTGTTAACTCAGTTGTTAAAATAGTTGAGTTCACTGAAGGCATATTTAGTGAACCAAGATAGGTTTCTGTCAGTCTTTCTGTTTCTTTTTTTTTCATTGAAGATTAAGGTGACCTTGAGTAAAAAGTTTCCTCCGGTGAGAGGGGACAATAATAGCTGCAACAGGAAATTTAGCTAAGGGCATGCAGCTGAGTTTTTTTTCTACTAAGGGGAAATTGGGCTGAAGTAGCACTGTATCAAATTTGGAAATGCAAGCAGAATGTTTGCAAACAGCACAAATAGACCTTATGGCAGAGGGTTGTTACTCACAGCCCAGAAAAGCCTCAGCTTGCTTCATGTATTGTATGAAGAGCAAAATAGCAACAGCTTAAACTGGGACTGCTTTTATCTTTTGTGTGGGAGACAAGAGGCAAAGGGGGCATTTGTCACTTACATGAACTCAATCTGTTAAAATTCCTTTAGTAGATGCCCTTCATAATAAATAAAAATGAAATTAGAAACAAATTCTTAGCATGACAGGACTTCAAATAAAAATAATAATTTTAAAATCCATAACTGAATCAGACCATATAAAAGCTATGTCTAAGGATTCTGTCTTCAGGTACTTCATTCACCCTGAATCGTGAAAATGCACAAAAGCATACACACTGATTATGTGGTAGGGTAGGTCAAAGCTCAAGTCATTAAAACTTCCAAAAAGTTGCATTCCTTTTAAAAGCAATGAAGAAAAAGCTGTGTGATACTCTAAGAATTACTGAAGTTGCTGCTTACCTAAGGGTCAAAATATACTGAGTAGTTAATAAAGGTAGCCAAAGTACTGCATATTCTCTGGAGAAAGCATGAAAGAGACTACAGGAAAATCTTTTTACTCTTGGGAAATAATTCTATTTAGGGAGATGGAGGAGGGAAAAATATAAAGGAAAATCTTGGTTCTTGAAGAATAAGCCTGATACGGTTAGCTCAGCTATAGAGCTGTGTGTGATATGCTTGTGGGGACGGGGGAAGATTTCACAGGAGCTTACTGAGTTGCTGAGGCACACTTGAGAATTATTTATGAGAGGGAAGCATGACTTCAAAGAAATGCAGTTGCTACTGTGTCATGTGATCCTTTCAAAACAGAAGAAACAAAAAGTCTCCTGGCTTTGTGTCCTTGCCCTCCTAACAGTGGTGAATTCATGTTGATGTAAACAGAGAGGAAATGTTTTGTTTTGTTTTTTCAAGACTCATTAATTCCAGTAGCTGAGCCACCACTGGAACTAGTGCATTCTGAAATTCAGTAACCTACTCTCATTATAAGTTCCCTAACCCTGGTATTCTATACCTATGACTCGTTTTTTCTGAATGTTTAGAGCTTACAGGGCATCTATTAATTATTTCATTTTCCCACATAAGTCAACCAAGCCTAGTAGTTTGTAATATTTCACTGGTCCAGAAAGTGTTTACAGTAAACAATATTTGTTTCTAAAACAGAAGTGCACTTGGGTTCAAGTGTCTATATAATTAGTCTGAGCAGTGTAATAATACGTTAAGTGGAGCTGTTTTGACTACTTTAGACACAGCATCGTTTACTGTGCATTAGTAATATACTTCATGTTACGTATTTCAAGACAGTAATACGTCTCTTGCTTTTTCATTTAGCTGTAAAGTGTCTAGTATATTTGAACTGGGCAGCAATTAACAATTAAGTGTTCATGTTTAGGATTCAGTTTATATCTTGGTCTTTAGTTACACTATTAACATTCACGTGGAAATAGATTTGCCCTTAGAAGACTGCAACAAATTCTGTATGTATAAGCAGAAATTGAATCACTACACATGCCAAATAAACCAGTGGCATTTCTGTGGAGTGTATGACATAGCATAAGTTGAGTTTTACATTGCAGGAGTGTGGCTGTTATTTGTTCAGGTACTCGGTGATGTGTTTCCTACTGATCCTTAAAAGCAGAGCGGGATGTCAACTACTTATGTTGGTGAAATCTGAAATCTCCTATTTCCTTTTGTGATGTTTCTTAGGAACATTGTCAGTATTTGGGGTTTTTTAAAACCTTTAAATTCAGACAGCAAAACTGGGTGCATTCTGACAGCTGGATTACCAGTGCTGTGCAGAAGCAAGATTATTTTTTATTTCTGCTTTGAAGCTCTTTTTTACTCTGTATAAGAAGGTAGAACAGCTCTTTCCACTATAGTTTTACGTAGGACCTCATGACCAAGTGTTAACTTTTATGATTCCAAACCATCACCTACCAATATCTAGGGCAGTACTGCATGGTGCTTTTTAGACTTACTATCTGAACTGTCCTGTCCCTGTTATATATCATCTTGAAAGTTGTATTACAAACTCATTATCTGGCTTCCGACTCCTGCAGAACCATTCTGTCAGTTGGTCTTGTAAGACTTGTCTCCAGTACCAGTCTGTTGGTACACAAGGCAGATGTTAGAAATAGTAAATGTTGGCAATCGCTTCTGACTACATCCCTGTGCTCATGACCATCTATGTCCAGGTGGGGCCTGGGCTGGAGGGAAACGGGAAGCTTAGCAGACAGATTGCATGCAGCACTGCAGCTTCTGAGTGAGCTGCAACTGCTTCTGCCAGGATTTGGCAGTCTGGAGTTGAAGGCAACCTCAAAGTCTGACAACTTGTCCCCAGGGCCGCTGTGCTCATTATGTGTCAACTGTGAAATCTTATCAGAACAGTGGTTTGGTTTAAAGAGCATTAGGCTGTTCTATTGTTCAGTCAGAATTTCTCAAGGAAATTCATAACAAATGGACCCTGGAGCAGCAGCTTTGCTGCTCCGCGTACTGAGTACTGTTGTGCTGGTAAGTGCCTTAAGGCCATTATCCTAGCTAAGGCATATTCTTCCCTTTCAGGTACTTGGTCCTTGTGAACTGCAATTAGTATTATCTGCCTTTTCAAACAAGAAGTTGGGGAATATACCTGATTTTCTTCTTTCTCAGTACAGTTAATAAACCCTTGACTGCAAGCAACTGCAGTGGGTTCATTTTACATACCTGCTGGCAGCACTAAGGCATTACACATACTGAAGGGAAAACTCAAGTCAACAAACAAGCCCCCAGTCTCATCAGTTGTTTCTTTGGATTATGTTCTAATATAGGTACTCAAACAGATATGTAGGCTCTGGGCAAAAAAAAAGCATACCTGTGGAAAACATCTGGTTCTTTTTGGTTTTTTTTGTTTGTTTGTTTTTAAATGGGACTTCAGCAAAACAGCAGGAGTACTCTCAGCCCTTCTGTGAAGCTTGCACCTCCCTTGGTGTGTGAAGAGATCTGAAGAAAGTGAAAAATCTGTCAGCATTATGAGTTGCTGTATTATAATTAAACTTGGAAAAAATAGTGACAAAATTTCTTACATGTACATTTTGCAGTTCTGGTGACCTAAGCTGTTTTATGTGGTTGAAGTAAAAAAACATGAATTATGCTTTTGGAAATGGCTAAGAACTCTGGGTTCTTTCAGCCAGAGAGGGTGGTTATGACTACAGTCCATAAACTAGAAAGACATTGTCATTTTATGGATGAAGTAAAGAATACTAAAGAATGCCTAAGGAAGTATAAAATTTAATCTGAACCCAAGTTCTGTGATTGGCACTTATAATGTGTCTTGTTTAAAAATATTTAAGTAGGGAGCTGTTAATTGAGGGCTGTTTCATTTATAGTTCTGCTTGTTGAATAATTCCTCCAAACCTAAAATCTCAGGGTTCTGAAACATTTTGACTTGCTTAGGCACTAATCCTTTTGTTACTTGGAGAATATTTTAGAAGGCTTTAGTCATCGTTGTCACTGACGTAGATACTTTGCTAATTTAAGCTCATGGATATGGATGATGAGCATGAATAACTTTTTTATTTCAGGTTGATACTCATATCCATGCTGCTGCTTGCATGAACCAGAAACACTTATTAAGGTTTATTAAGCACACATATCAAACGGAGCCGGACAGGATTGTTGCAGAGAAGAAAGGCAAGAAGATGACTTTAAAGCAAGTCTTTGAAAGCCTTCACATGGATCCTTATGACCTCACTGTAGACTCTTTAGATGTCCATGCAGTAAGTCTATCAAACTGACAAAGTAAACAAGAAAACACTTAGGTTTTTTTCAGTGTGAAATTCTGGTTTCTACAGTTTTTGCATGATAACTTACCAAATCAGAATTTGAACTCATGCATTACTTTGCATGTTTGACATAAATTAGCATAGGCTTTTTCTTGTATGTGCCTTTCCTTGCTAGGCAATTTAATTTATAAACTATAGTGTGTGCTTAAATCCATGGTTATTTGGGGTTTCTTCCTACTCCAGGGTCGTCAAACATTTCATCGATTTGACAAATTCAATTCGAAGTACAATCCAGTTGGTGCCAGTGAGCTGAGGGACTTGTATTTGAAAACTGAGAACTACATTGGTGGTGAATATTTTGCTCGTATGGTCAAGGTAAGTGAGGTTCAAGCTTTTCCAGCTACAGAGAAATTAAGATTTGTAAAAGGTATGTGATGTCATAATTGTATCTGGAGCTAACAGTATGATTAAGTGATTCCGGGTACTGGCCTTGCTCTGGCAGTTCATCAGAGAAAGACCTCTGCTAAGTCAGCCACTGCTGCTTTCTAAATCATTTTATGAGGTAGAAACTCATACACATAACCTGTGTATGAGTTCAAAGCAGTGCTGGGTACAGTTTCGAATTAATGGAGAGCAGCCAAAAGTCAATTCACTGGTTTAATATTTTGCGAGGATGTAGTAGGCTAGTGACAGCTGCTAGGGAAGGAGGGGCTAGGGCAGTGCCTCTGCATGAAACTGTACCTGCATGTGTGCACAGGCTTCAAATTGATTTCTTACAACCAAAGAATTTGTAGCTTTCATGAACTAGATGTCAGCTTTTCTTAAACATACAGAAGTGCTTGTCTGAAATTAACAGCCTTAAAATTGCTTACAACCATGCATTTTGGGTCAGATTCTCTATTGGTCTGCATATTTTATGTAGTCACTACAGTTTAAATAGTGTCATTCTGAGTTACCAATTTTAAACATGTCTTACAAAGGTGTTAGCAATAACTGCACAATATTGTCCTCTAAAGCTAGGTGTTACAGTTAGTTACAGTGAACTGATTCTGAGATAGCTTGCCAGCAGAATATTTAAATGCCTAAAGTAAAATAACCAATTAATAGACAAAAGATTCCCTTTTTATCTTTAAAGAGTGAAAATACAATTATGTCTGGTCTGAGGAAAATAGAATAATAAATATATTACTAGGTGTAAATGATCTTCAGTGTCCATATTAAAGCAAATATATTTATTACTTAATAGGAAGTAGCCCGTGAACTAGAAGAAAGTAAGTACCAGTATACAGAACCCCGCTTATCCATTTATGGACGGTCTCCAGATGAATGGCTGAACTTGGCAAAATGGTTCATTAAGCATAAAGTTTATTCCCCTAATATGCGCTGGATAATTCAGGTTCCCAGAATCTAGTAAGTAATCAGGAGCTCTTGGTAATTTTAATAGTTTGAAATCATACCAATGATTCGTTTTGATTTCTGATATTTTTTAGATGGTTTATGAGCTTTCCTGGAGTTCCATTTATAAGCAACAGCCTGGGAAATTTATTTTTGACCATTGCTGCAATTTTCCTGACAGTGTGGGGGTGGAAGACAGGAGATGGGGTTTGAATCTATTCTTTATGAAGCTATTCAAAACTACTGTGAATTAGTTGTAAGTCTGAAGACACTAAAAATAAAAAATTACAACTGGGTGAAATTAAGCTGCATTCAAGGGCAAGTTAAAACACAGTTATTGATGAAAATAAATCACCTCTTGAATTCCATAACTGTGAACTGTTACCACCAGACTTCCTTAAGATTGGTGACTAAATGACAGTGAACTTGGAAATGCAACCCTGGTTGCTGATTTGCAAGCTTAAATCAATATCAGTTTTTCTTAGTTTTTAAGCATTCTTTGTGACTTTGATAAATGGTTGTTTGTTTCTAACACATATATTATAATAGTGTCCCTTGATAATTTTGTCAAGTCTTAAAGCTGCGCTTCATGTTTTGAAATTGCATAGTTGGAATATGAGTAGAGAAAGAGCTGTCATGGTTCCATGTATCCCCCAGAGTGTGTTTCTCATTAGGGAGAAAGTGTCTGTCCTTTAATTTCTTATGTAATGATTTCTTATGTACACAGCAGAATCAACACCTTCATTAAGTCATGCACTTAATGACACACTGAAGTACTGTCCCTCTGTTCTGAGAGGCTCACTAAAGCAGAATGAATATTCTACTTTTGTTTGAAGTAGTTAACGACTTTGGAAAACAGAATGTTTCAGGAGAGGTAATTCCTTATCTCACCTATTGATATTTGGATTGCTGTAAAGGAAAGGGTCACTCTTTTTGAGAGAGCATCTACCCTTGCACACTGTCTCTATTTTTGGAGTGCTCAGGAGCTCCAGCAGAGCCTGGATGAAGCAGAGTGGCAGGAGGTGCAGGAAATGGAGCACAGAAACAAGCCCTGCCCTAACATAAACTTTTAATTTCTTAATCCTGGCAGAACTGAAGCTGTAGAATAAACTCAAATAACAACAAATGTGAAAGTGGAGGAAAAATAAAAGCCTGTTAAAGAAAGGTCAAAACTGTGTATTTTTTCCTCTTCAGTGACATATTCAGGTCAAAAAATATTCTGCCTAGTTTTGGGAAGATGTTGGAGAACATCTTCGTACCTTTGTTTGAAGCAACAATCAACCCCAAAGACCACAAAGAATTGCACCTTTTCCTCAAATATGTAAGTATATTTGGATTTTCTCTCTCACATGAAACAGATCCTCTCCTACTCATAAATTTTGTTTGTCCACAGCTGTTTCCAGACACTAAGATCTTCCTCCTCCATAGATTACTTGTATTACTGTTTTACTGGCAATTTAATAAAAGCCTGGGTAGGGTCCTGTTGCTAAATAGTTGCTATTTATTTCCCTGAAACAGCTCATCACCTCTTTATCTGCCCTCTCAGTAATCCTCACTATGACCGAAAGACATTTGCATGCTCTTGTGCAGAGGGAACATAGTAATCCAGGATGCGCACCGCGAGCTTGCCTCTAGGACTGGCCTTCAAAAAGGAGGCAACTGAGAGGAAGCATTGTGTAGATCCTGATGGGACTCAGTAGTGCGGATGTAGCTGCTGGGACATGATTAAAAGACATTTCCAAGTATGCCCCAGTTCAGAACTCTGAGGTTTCCTGGGAGCCTCTGGCCTTCAGCTGCTTTTCAGATAACAAAACTAGATGAGTTTAAAGGATTCTAATCCGGATCTGAGGGAATTTTACAGGCTTTTGTGCACCTGGGCCTCTTCTTTGTCTCAAAAAAAAAAAAGGGGGGGGTGTGTGAAACTGCCTTCAAGTAAACACATTACTCCTGCTATCTGCAGGGAGTGGTAGGAGGGTAGGGCTGCTAGCATAAGGAGGAAGTGAAGAAGGAGGACTAGTTGCTTTGTACAAGCACGTCCTGAAGGAAAAGTAACATTGACATTTGCTTCTTGAAAACACTGATTTCTGTTAGTCTCTTCTCCCACCAGGTGACTGGCTTTGACAGTGTTGATGATGAGTCCAAACACAGTGGCCATATGTTCTCTGACAAAAGCCTTAATCCTGACCTCTGGACCAGTGAGAAGAATCCCCCATATAGCTATTATTTGTATTATATGTATGTGAACATCATGTTGCTAAACAACCTCAGAAGGTAAGTAGTCATTTTTTACAAGCTTTCAGAAAGAAAAATAGATAATCTTTGTCTTAATCTAAATCAGTGTCTGGATCATATATCTGTTGAAGCAAAGGTTATCTTGAATTATTTTAGAGAGTCCAAAAGGAGCACACAAGTTATTTTGAAAACGTTAACTGCAAAATGAATTCAAATGCAATAATCAGAAATTGTAAAGGCATCTGGTTAGTATACTGGTTTGACACAAAACTGACGGTTGACCTTGGCTTGGATTCATAGTGGATTTCCAAATGTAACTATTGGTAGCTTGCTATCTCCTGGTAATTTAAGAGGTACAAAGTTATGTTGTGAAATACTGGTTTTAGGGCTGCTGCTGTTACCAAAGATAGACAAAAGAGGACATAATTATAAACTGCACATCTAGCTAACTTACTTTAGCATGCATATTGACTCATTCAGTTTTACTGCCTTTGAGACCAATGTCTAGGCAAGTAATGCAGAGAGGTATGATTCTGAATGTGAGATCATGACTGTAAAAGCAGATTTTGGCATCACGCTCAGTAAAGCCTGAAATTCAACATCAGGTTATGTTCGCAGCTTTGTGGCTGACTCACTGAGTGATCTGCACAACTGACTCAAATTGAGGCACAGTGGAGTTATCCACTGATATTACAGTGTCATCACGTACCTTGCAAGAATTTGGTTCATTATTATTTATAAAATATTTTTGAATTTTCTTATAGGAGTTGCACAGACCTGTCATTTTCACAGGTCTTATGCAAGTTAACATTTAAAATGTTATTTCTTCTCTCCCCCTGTTACCTCAAGCATTTCTTTCTTGACCACCCAATAGAATCAAAACTCACGATAAAAACATCAAGTGGAAAGGACACAGTACAGCAGCTGATATTGAAGTCATCCCTTTCATCATACATTTCTTTCTTACCTCAAAATCATTTCAACTACTATTTGAAAATCTCCCTAGGTAATAATTAAATATTCTTTATAGCTAGGTGAGATAATGACACAATACATCAATGAGTCAGTAAAACTGTTCACCCTGTTAAATGTACTATTTGAGGCACCACAGCCAGTCCATTAGAAGACTCTTTTATGCTTTTCGTAGTATTAGCAAAGTCATTATATCCTTGCATCCATTTTATGGAGAAATGTGACTAAACTTCCATCCTAAAAATTCCTCATTACTTTAGCACTCCTTGTTGAAATTCTTTGCTTTGAATATATCTAAATCTCAATACTTATGGGACATTTGTCTTCACTGAGTAATAGGGTCCATTATAACCTAAAACTCAGCATAATTTTTAATACAGATGATAAAATAGTTCTAGAAATTGTAGTGTTAAGTCTAGTGTAACAACTAACACTTCCTGTGCAGCTGAGGCTGTGGCTTCATGCTACACTTAATGTGGTGAGATGGCAGGTTGTCACTGTACTACATAGTGTTCGCTAACTCTCGGCAATGTGCTTCCACTGCTTCCCTCATTTTGAATATAGGAATTATGCAGCCATAGGTTGCATCAGTTCACTTAGCTTTCCTTCCCCTACTTCCTGCAGCTGAAAACAGTTTGATAACTGTTCACCCAATATTAAATGATTGCTAAATGAGATATAACTGGAGAAGGAAAGAAGGAAGGCACAAATATGTTAGATGATGGTAGGGGGTTGGGTATAGGGACCTGCCCCTTTCAACAGCAGCCTGATTAGATGTCACACCAAACTGTATGAAAACGTGTAACTTATTAATTCCCATATCAATGCTAATTATATGCAAAATAGATAAAAACCAGTGCATTAACAGTGCAATTTTGGTAGTGGAACTTGCTTTTAATCTCCTTAGGGAAAGAGGCATGTGTACTTTTCTGTTTCGACCGCACTGTGGAGAAGCTGGGTCTATCACACACCTTGTATCAGCCTTTCTGACAGCAGACAACATTTCTCATGGATTGCTACTGAAGAAGGTAACCTAAACTAATCACTCTCTGCTTAGACATCAGTCACTGGTTCAAACAGCAGTTGCAAAATTGATTTTGTCTGGCAGCCCAAAATCAGTTTTCTTAGCAAGGCACAAGTAACTCTTCACTTCAACTGGAAATCCCACCTGGAGTACTGTGTTCAGCTCTGGGACCCCCAGCATAAGAAGGATGTGGACCTGCTGAAGCAGACCCAAAGGAGATGATCAGAGGGTTTCTGCACTGCTAAGAAGACATGCTGCGAGGGTTGGACTTTTCAGCCTGGAGATGAGAAGGTTCAGGGGAGAGAGCAGCATTCCAGTACCCAAAGGGGCCAACAAGAAATCTGGAAAGGGACATTTTACAAGGGAATGTAGTGACAGAACAAGGGGTAATGGCTTTAAACTGAAAGAGGGTAAATTTAGACTAGATATTAGGAGGAGGCTCTTTACTGTGAGGGTGGGTAAGACACTGGAACAGGTTGTCCAGAGAAGCTGTGGCTGTCCCATCCCTGTCAGTGTTCAAGGCTAGGTTGGATGCGGCTTTGAGCAACCTAATCTAGTGGAACGTGTCCCTGCCTGTGGCAAGTGGTTGGAACTAGATGAGTTTTAAGGTCCCTTCCAACCCAAACCATTCTGTGAAATAAATAAGCTCAGCTGAATTTTCTATTTAAGCTACAAAACCAATATTTTCCAAATTATGTTAAAGCTATGTCTTTATAGGGAAGATCAATTGTTCAGATATGTCAAGGACTTGACAGCACTTGCAAGCAGACCTAAAATGGAAAAAAGCTGCTTAGACTTGTTGCTACTTCCTGGTTTAGATCCCAGAAGAACTTAAGACAAGCTCTGGTTTCTTCTGCAGAGGGACAAAGGTCATTTTCCCTTACTGGCATCCCTGTAATTCAGGGTTCATTCCGAAATTCATTAAGGTTATGATTATTTACATCTAGAGTAACTGGGATCAATTGATTAAGAAATTTAACATAGCTGAATAGCATGATAGTAATATTTTTTTACAGCTTGCTGCTTGTGACAGGACAAATGTTATCATTCCTGGTGTTACCAGTTAATGAAAACTATCACGTAAGTCATCCCCCAGGCCAGTGTCCTGTAATTAAAATAATTGGTCAGTAGGTGGCAGACTTGCGCTGAGCTTATTGTAATTTTTTGGAAAACGTTCTCATGTAAGTTGGCTTTTCTGGTTAATGCTGTAAAATTCTCTCTGTGTTTGTTAACATATACAAGAAAAAAAGAAAAATCTTGCCTAAAATCATGTCTGACGTTATGTTCAGAACCAGAAATACCTAATATTAGAACCAGAATAGTACTAAGGCTGTATGTGGCCAAAGCATTCTTCTCTTCACTCTCTTCTGCTTCGCCCAGTGCAATAACCTGGGATAGCAGATGATAACAATAACAACGATAATAATAACAGCACTTACTAGGTTTACATGTTGGTTAAGTAAAAATAGCAATAAAGATGAGGTGACCTCAAAAGGTTTATATTATGTGCAACAGCCACATATTATGTGCAACAGCCACACATGACGTATAATAAAACTTTTCTGCACCTAAAATTTACCTGTTGGACTTCAGTTTTGAAAAACTTAGCAGTTCTTACACATCTGTTTCCTGTGACTTTTAGGTTTTGGGGGAGGGTATGCAGTTAGTATCAAACGCAGTGCCCTGCATAGTCATATATAATTACTAATCTGCAGTAACATTAGTCACTGTATTTTTAAAAGAATGACATATATGTTGAAGAATGTAAATTATTTTTATAAAAATCTGTAACATTTAAAATTCAGACTTTAAAATATTTTCTAAGTCATAGTTTAGTGTCAACCAAATTTTCTGGATCTTATTCCTCCCTCTGTAATGCTGTTTCCATTTTATCCAAGGGAAATACTTTTTTTCATTAGCCCATATTACCATTAAACGCTGACTGTGTTCTGTTTTGCAGAGTCCTGTCCTCCAGTATCTTTATTATCTTGCACAAATACCCATTGCTATGTCCCCACTTAGTAACAACAGCCTGTTCCTGGAGTACTCGAAAAATCCACTACGGGAGTTTCTACATAAGGGACTTCATGTCTCTCTCTCCACGGATGATCCTATGCAGTTTCATTATACAAAGGTAAGAACAAGAAACACTTGTCTTTGAATTTGGCAACCGTACTAAATAGGCCCAGAACAACCTGAAAGCTATTTCATATCATTGCTTAGGATACCAAGTTTCATGTCTTCCAGTCACTTCATTCATTATCTTTCCTCATTCTCAGTCTACTCACTGTTAGGTTTCAGAGGGAAATGTCTGATTTCCTAATTATGTTTCTTTTGTACTCTTGCTTCTCCAGTGTTGGCTGTTGAAGTATAGAATGAAGGATGAGGCTGAAGGGAGGTTTGAGCCTTCATAAACAATCCTCTAGAGTGCCAGGAAAGTCCAGTTTCCTTACTAATAAATGTGGGGAAGTACATTACAAAACCACAATGTGGAATCTCTGAAGATGACAGCTGTTTGCTCAGTGAACTGATTCTTGCCTTTTGGTGGCCTGGCAGGACAGAACTCCCTGGTCATTGGTTCTGATGCTCCTGTTTTGCGGTTGGCACTGACTTGAGTCATGTTATGCTTTACAGTGGCCTGTACGTTGCTCAGTTCTCTGAGTTGTGAGCACAAGTTGAGCTCTGGTGTGCTTCACTCAGGCTTCTGGTCCATGACATGTCTCTGCTAGAAAAGACAGCTTCTGTGAGGGCTTGCCGCATGGGTGTAATGCCTCACCAGCAGAGCTACACATAGTGTGGAAGACTGTAAGCTGTGACAGCCCATTCATTAGTCACACCCAACCTCCTTGTGTGGAAGGTCAGAAGTGAGAAATTGCCCAGTTATCTGTCTATGTAGACATTTGTTGAAAGAGTTACAAGACTAGATCCTCCAAGGCGTTTATTTTCCCTGGGATCTCATTTGAAATGCCTCTAAGGATCCTGACTGGGGGCTACAGTTTCTTAGCCTAAGATCACTGGATACCCCATGCCTATTATTTAACAGTTGCCCTTGAGAAGTATGAAATCAATAATGCTTTTTAGTAGTAATTGTGATGTTAAAATCTTCAAATATCTAATTTTTCACAGCTACCTAAACAGCATGTGTGAATTTCTTTAATAATGAGTACGTATCTCGGTATACATCCTATTTACATCTAATTTAAACATATTTTGGTGATACAGGAAGCTCTCATGGAAGAATATGCTATTGCAGCCCAGGTGTGGAAACTAAGTACCTGTGACTTGTGTGAAATAGCAAGAAACAGCGTACTGCAGAGTGGATTGTCAGATAAGGTAATTATGGCTGAAAAGATCCCTTTTTGCAAGCATCAGGGCAAGTAGGAACTGTGAAGTCAGTAGTCTCAAAACTGAATAGGAGGTGCTTCTGTGATGTATTTGCACACACCCCTATTCTCTCTTCCAGAAATCTTCACAAAGTATCTGCTGTGCAGTCTTACATTTTAAAAAGTATTAACATTACATGTTTTCCCAAAACATGCAGAGAGCAGATCCATGTTTAGACTTGGCTCTGCCTCCAGTCCCAAACCTTTAATTATTTGGGTGATATCCCTCTGCCAGCAATTTCATAAGTCATGTGTTGGTTTGAGTATAAAACAAACTGTCAAAAGCAAGACGTGTTTGCTAAGAAGGGAGTACTACAGAAATCCCTTTTGGCTTGAAAATTCCATACATCCATGGTTTTCTCTACAACTTAATTTAGATCATCTTCTCTTCTGTGTAATTTTAAAACATTGTCTCCAAGGAGCTGGTATGTGAAGGGGCTTTATTAATATATTCTGCTGTTTCTTCCAGTATTCTTTAGTGACAACTACAGATTTTCCTCTTGTGCAATATTTAACTAGCAAAAGAAATCTAAGTCTCTTTTTGACCTCTGACATGAGAGGTGCAGTAGTGAAGACAAGTAGTTTTAGCAAGCCAGACTGAATGCAGTGCTGAGTAATTATATATGTAACTTTGGCCTTAAAATCTCCACAACTGGTTAAGACTCTGAGGCAAAGATCAGTGGCCAGCTGGCTGAAGCTGCTCTTTTCACTTGCACTGGAGTCATTCAGCTAACAAACACTCAGCCAATAAATCAGATCAATTCAACTGACTTCTTCCTTTTCATATTTAATCCCACTCGCAGGAAAAACAGAAATTCTTAGGGGTGAATTACTGTAAAGAAGGGCCTGAGGGAAATGACATTCGAAAGACAAATGTTGCACAGATCCGGATGGCCTTCAGGTACGAGACACTGTGCAATGAACTTAGTTTCCTGTCTGATGCTATGAGAACAGAAGAGATTTCTACTCTGACAAAGTAATTATAAACTCAAAGAAACCAGAACATCCCACTCCTAAGAAGGAAAAATTGCTGACTAACATTAAATCATCTGTCTTTGATGCTACCAAGACATAACTGAACAGTACAGAGAAAAAGATTATCTATTTATGGAAGGTAAACAGTGTTTGCCATTATTTTTAATGCATTATTCTCATTGCAAAACCTTCAGTTTTTATCAGCATTAGGCTTTGTAAGATGGCTGTAAATAAAAAATGCAAGCTCAGACTCATGTAATATTTGTCTCATGCTGTCTTAACTGTACACTGTATTGTAGCTTGGAAAACAACAGAGAATATTCATAGCACATCTGTGATATGCACCTTACGATTCTGCAGATGTGGACAATACACATCCATCTGGTTTTGTCCTGCTAGTCTCAGCAGCAGTCATGGCATTTAGCACTTGTAAGTTTAACCCTTTATCATTAGCAGTTTGTATGGGGTGCATAATTTTGAGGCTAGCCTTTCGTTCTGGAAGGTGTTCTGACACAGTTTTTATCTTAATGTTTCAGACTGGAAAACAAGAAAAACAGAATCAGGTAGTCTTGTTTAATGACTAACTACTTCCTGTTGTCATGTAGGATATCTGTGAAGAACAGCAGATTAATGCTTTTTAATCTAGTAAGTAGAAAACAGTGTCAAATTCATCACTATTGTATGTTGTAATAATGAGTCTAATTATATCATGAAAACTTTGCCTTGAAAGGTGAGAATACTTTTTTTATTGGTTTGTAATGGGAATATGTGGATATGCCAGTTTAAATTACTTAGAAATTCACACAAATAATTTTGGTTGCATGTAAAGAGAAATTTTTTACTTGAACAAAGGAAGTGTTCTTATGAATCAGTGGTAGAAACTCCAGACTTGGGTTCTGGTCCTACTTCTGACATCTTTTTTACACATTTGCATTAGTTTGTATTTTAGTTAGTTAGAGTTGAATGAGAAGTCAAACTGGCTATTTGTACAGAAGCTAGCCCACTTGAAACATGGCATTTCAAATTATGTTAAACTTTATATTTATGACAGAGTGGCTAGTAAAATACAGCTACCGGAATATTTATTTATCACTTTCACCCTTTTTTCTATTTGCTCATCCTTCTTAAGATACAGTACTACACATTCAGAAAAGATTAAAGGTTATAACATGATAGCATTTATGTACTGTGGAAACTGCATGTAGTTTCACACCCAAAAAAGAGTTGAGGCTAGGGGCAACACAGGATGTTGATGCCTTTAAGTCCAACATTACACTTCTTGAGACCTAGATTCCCTAAGCTACGATAACAAGCCTATGGTTGGAGCCTTTGGGATCTCATGTAATACAGAGGGAGGTTAGGCAGCTTCAGACAGTAACTGAAAATTCACCTACAAGAAGGGCAAATAATGAATACTAACGAGTCAAGCCTCACTAGACTTTGAGCCCTGTATGTTTTGCATCAGACAATGTGTGCCACTTCATTCCTTAGGCTATGCCCTTCCTCCAGGGTTTGGTCACCTACATCCTTCCTTTCAAGAGCTGATCAGGTCTCACTTCCCCTTGTAAATGCAGCCAGAAGTAGCAGTGGTGACATCACCAGTAGCAAATGACTCATTAATGGCATAAATGTATATAGGCATTGAAGACATACACTCTCCCTTTAGGCTGTGGCACGTCAAAGCAGTACCTACAAGGACATGTTTTAAATGTACTTGCTGTCCTAAAATGGTGATTGCAGGGAAATGGCACCAAAGTAAGGGAAGGAGGAGTTCCTTATCACCTCCTATAACTGTGCAGCCCCGTAAGAGCCCCACAGGAGACTAAACCTAAAGAGCTTTAGGAAGCAGCCTGGAAGTAAGCCTGCTCTGAGGGAGACCAAGGCACAGGAACAGAGTTCTGGCCATCCAGTCACTATTACAGTGTGTCATGCATAGGGGCTGCAGTGATTGCAGACATTGTTAATCTAAAATATGGTTGCATATTGACAGGTGGTGGGAGACTTGACTTCAGCTCTTCAGCTACCTAGCCTAATGTCTGCAGTGTTCAACTGCTGCCAGACTTTGTACTCCTAGTGCAGCTAAAAAACTGCTACAGCAAAACTGTGCTACGCTGCTCAACTGTACAATAATGCAATGGTCCAAAGTTCTTAAGTCAGCAGTGCCTGTTGGCTTCACTGTTAAACTTCAGCAGTTCATATAATCCATTACCAGGATTGATGAATGTAGTTTTCTTAGGACAAAGTCTGAAAACAGTGGTTCAAACATTTTAGCTGCATAAAATTCAGATACCTTGTTTTCTTTAGTACAACTTACTAATCAATTCTTATCAACATAACATTAATTACCTGAGAAAAGCATCTGTGTCCAGGTGAAATAAGTAACATGCTTGGTTTGAAGAACCTAAATTGTAAGTATTTTCATCTGACAAACATTACTGTACTTGGATTGTTTCACCTTAATACTGCTACTAGTGTCGCTTTTGTTGTCACTTAGATCTCTTATTTAGTTTTATTATTATTATACTAAATTTGTGTATGTTTAATAACTTTTCATCTTTCCTTACCTCAAACTCATCAGGTTCTAATATGTCTGTAGCTCTTACTAAAGAAAAAAACACAAACTGGATTTGAATATACAGTTAATGGACAGTAATTAGGATTTTGACAATAATAACATGCAAATGGCCACGAGCACAGTCTGCTTTCTGGGCTTCCATGTGTGCTGCTGTTAAGTTGAGCTAATAGTGTTGTATTTAGGGGAACAAACCTGACATCCTTTCATGCTTCCATAACTACACCTCTTTTGGTCATCTTTTAATTAGGCAAAAGTTACTGATTCTCAAGTTTAGTTTAAAATTCAGCTGCTTTTTTTTCCAAGTTGCACTTTTGTTCTAGTGTATGGCTGTTCAAAATAACCTTGCAGTCTGAGGATATGTGTATAATGAAGGGCAGGTCCAGTGTGAACTACATTTACTCTAATGCAAGACAGGGCAGTAGCTGATTCTCCTTGCCCCCCCAGTGTTGAGACCAAACCTGGTTACATCACAGCTTGTGTTTTACTCAGACAAAAAGGGACTTGGAAGAACATCATTGTAGGTGGTTACTGGGGTGGGTGTTGGCTTCAGAATGGGAGACTGTCCTATTTTCTCATCATTTCATTGGTGTTAAGGTTCAAACATTATTCAAGATTTCCTTAAATATTAGCTCAGAGCATTTTATACTTTCATGTAAAATGGTTAATTATGGTTATTTGATGTTTACAACATATCTATCAGAACAGTTTCTAGTGATGCTCTTCCATTCTGTTATATTCCTTTAGCAAACTTCAGGCATTTGCTCTGCTGCTGGGTTATGCAAGTCCACCTCAGAGCCACCTTACCTTCTGCTGTCATTTTGTTCTTTGTCACTAAACCTTTCTGTTCTATTTGCCTAGTTAAAATCTAAGTCTGAAAAAGGTGGGTGGGGGGAAGGATGTCTGTAAAAACTGCTTTTTCTTTCTGTGCCTGGGTTAAATCATGTTTATCTTTTGCCTCTTGTGGAAGCATTAAACATTAAAACAATAAATAAATTATAAAATAATATGGTATATCTTTTGTCTGTGTATACCTCTCAGTAAGATAATGTAGCTGCTCAGAATCTCTGCATTCAAGCAGAACTAATCCTGTTAGCAGTACAGACAACCAAACCAAAATTAAGGACTACCACAGCATGAAAACTGAAAAAAAAACGACAACCAAAAATGAAACTGCAGTGGAGACAGAGAAGATAATAACCAATATTTACGAGAAGGAGCTAAAAGCTTATCTGACTGTCGTGATTTAAGCCCAGCTGGTAATTCAGTACCATGCAGCCGTTTGCTCACTCCCCACCCTTCCTCCCCCTGCTCCTGGAGAGATGGGGAAGAGAATCAAAAGAATGTAACTCCCACAGGTTGAGAAAAGAACAGTCCAGTAACTAAGGTATAACACAAACCACTGCTGCTACCACCAATAATAATAAGGGAAATAACAAGGGAAGAGAATACAACCGCTCACCACCCGCCGACCAATGCCCAGCCTGACCCGAGCAGTGATCTAACCCTTCCGCATTAACTGTCCCCAGTTTATATAGTGGCCATGACGTGCTGTGGTATGGAATACCTCTTTGGTCAGTTTGGGTCAGGTGTCCTGTCTCTGCTTCCTCCCAGCTTCCCCTCCTCCCTGGCAGAGCATGAGACTCACAAAGTCCTTGGTCAGAGTAAACATTACTGAGCAACAACTAAAAACACAGGTGTTATCAGCGCTGTTCCCAGGCTGAAAGTCAAAAACACAGCACTGCACCAGCTACTAAGGAGAAAAATGACTGCGACTGCTGAACCCAGGACAATGACTTAAAGCAATTCAGTGTTATAAAAAAACACCTGCTCTGATTTGTGCCAGTAGAAGACTTGGCAGTAAGTCCTGAAGTGAAACTGTATTATAGGGCTGCCCTGCTCTCTCTGGGTGCCCTGGTTTCCTGCTCATTCCATCTGGGCATCAGGATAAGGCATGTGACACCTCTTCCTGATCCTGGAGCCTCACCTTGCTATTAACCAGAGTGAAACCACCTGAATTTGGTAGCAGGAGAGCAGTTCTAACAGTCACAGTTGAAAGTTTAAGCAGTACACAGGACAGCTTTACCTGACAAAACATAAGAGCCAACAAGTGACAAATTGAAAGAGTGTCAACATGGACATTATGCTACAGTCAAGATGACTTTTGAGAAAAAAAGTTTAACACAATACATGTAATAACAATTTTAGATGAAAATGTGTCTCTTTCTGTACAGAAACCCTTAATTTCTGTACACAAGCAGCACTTAATGAAGCATGGGATTACAGATCCACCTGTAAATGAAGAATGTGTATTTCTTACCCATACCTCTTAAAGTACTAAATATCAGTGTTAAGCAGCACAGAGTAATAGTATATATAATATTGAAACAGGAACACTGCTAACTAATTCATCAATCATTAACCATGACTAGTGTGTACCATCTCACATGAAAAATGCTTTTGGGAAGGTCTACTAAAGTGGGTTGGAACCACATTAACATGGAAGCATAGACTGTTGCATCAAACCCCTATTTTGTTCCACATATATACAACCAAATTCCAGAAGGGCAGGTTTCCGACTAATTTAAGCTTAATTCATAAGAATACCGTATCTTTTCAAATAGCACTTTGAACCAAAGAAGAGGGCTCATTTAATTACCTGTTGGATGGTATTCAAACCACCAGATAGATACATACTGGACAAAGTTCCATCCAAGTTTTCAAAAGGGCTGGCTTTTTAATTTCAGGCCCACAAAGCCCCCCCATTAAATATTTTAACCTTGATTGATAGATTGAGGTAAGCAATCACATGCTAATTGACATTGTGACAGCTCAGCTACGAAAGTAGAATGTGTCATCAGATCCTTCAGACATTACATTCCTTGGAACATGACTAGTTCACAGCAAAACCCATTATCTACACTGCAGTTACTGGAAAGAAAAAGCAACACTGTCCCACTCAGGTTAATTTCAGCTATGCATAGCAACAGGAAAAGTGTTCCATCTTTACAGTATGTTGCCTATGATAAATTCTAGAACATTAAAACCAAGCATTTGAAGACATGACAATTAAAAAAACCCAGTTTTGAGATTACTGATTTTAAAGACACACTTCTAAGCAAGCAGAATTCTATTCACCCAAACAGGTGAGGATAAAACATTATGTTATCTTCAAGAATGGTTTAACAACAGAAAAAGAAAGTAACTAATTACTGTAATTAGTGATATTAGAGGACATGTATTTAGTGGATACAAAACTAAAGAATTATGTGTATGCAGTATTAAGGCTGGACAGGTTAACATACAACTCCTATTTACATCCAGCATCTTCAAGGCTATCCAAGAAGGCTACCATACCACGATTCACCAGGACAAAGCACAGAGAACCATGGCCAAGATGTTCCTTCTAAAAGTAATGCACTTGGCATGTACAGCTGTGGGGGGGCTGGGGGAGAGGAGAAGAGGATTTAACAGCTCAGTTCAAACCTATAGCACAGAGATTTCACTGGCTACCTTGTGTTTCCAAAATTGGCATTAGTATGGATTAGAAAACCTTTATAATTACAGACAGAATTCTCTTCAAAGGAAAGATATGTGAGTCAGGTATGCCACTTCTCACTAAAAAAAGAAACATGCACATTACATGAGTAAGGTGTCTAAACTTGAAACCTCGTAAATACCAACACTTGTCAGTTCCTCAAGTACACCCACCTCCTGGTGTGACTGTCAACTGGTAAGGTTTCAAATTTTAATTTCCTCATCTGTTATAATGAATTCCTTTCCCATTTTTCACTTGGCTTCAAAAGATCCAAGCAGATAAACCAACTAACTAGACAAAGGAAACAGTTATATTAATTACATACTGCAGTTATTATTTAAAAACAGGTAAAATCTGAGAAGACAGAATATTCCAAACCTTAGCATTCTTAAGGTTTAAAATACTCTCAGAAACATGATGAAATAACTTGGGAAAAAAGTGAATCAAACTTCTCTGAGAAAAAAAAATTATCCTTTTTCTAAAGAACCCCACTCCTCAATACTGTCCTTTAAAGTAGAGCAGTTTGGTTAAATTTTCCCATCCCTGCAGAATGTTCCAATTTGTTCTGACAAACAAAAAAAAAAAAAAAGGAGAATCAGAGTGGGTCTTCTCTGCAGATCTGCATTCAAGCTAATTTGTTGGTACTGCACTGCAAAGTTTAAGAGACATCTGACCCATGTGTATGGCATCCTTTCAACCACACCACCTGTACAATAGAATTGTATTTAGATTAATATTCACCTTCAGATTTTTGTGGTATTAAAGCCAAGAGATTCCTTAAGCTTAAAAGAACATTTCTTCCAAAGTAACTTGCACCATTCATACACAAAGTTTAATATACTGGAATGTCCCCAGCTATTAATACAATCTAAAATGTTTAAATTACAAATTCACATTACAACGGTAAGAAATCATCACTTAACACAAGAAAGTTTAGTTTGTTCTAATGCCCCCACTAACAGGTATCCATAGTAACATTTCAAGGCCTAGTTTCTGGAGCCCATTGCCATGTCTGGGCCAGTATCATTCCTTTACCATTTCCAAAACTGTTTGCTAAATGTAGCACTTCAGACTAGGCAACAGCAACCACTACCAAATTTCTAGTTTTTCAGTGTTAATAGACCTGCTATCCCATGTTACATACAGTACATATATTTTACAAGGCACACATTACAGTACCTGTATCACAGTAGTGTGAATTACAGCAACTTAATTAAAAAAAGCTGTACCGAATACAAAGCTTACTTTTTCACTATTTAAATAATTTTTGCACTAGAGTATATTGCAATTGCAAGGTTACCATCCTGCAATTAACAACCTGTTTGCATCATTACAAAATTACATTTTAAAAAGTCCATTTAAGTTCTCAGCAGAAAGTCAACTTATAAAATCTCAGTTCAGAAGTATAATTCTTGAATTACTTGAAAAATAAAGTTAGTTTGAAGCTTTAATTTAGATGTTCTTTCCGCTCCAGTGATATAAAAAGTTTAAAAAATTCAAAGGTTCAAGTTCTGAACATGGATTAATGCAAGCTCAGAAAGCAAAAAGAAATCAAACCAGTATGTGATTAGGAATACTTGCAAATATTTTAGTGGAAAACCCCTGACCATTAACAGTTTTTAGTTGTTGCCTATATGCAACCAAACAGTCCACATATTTTCTTCCGAACACCTCATGATACCAAAGGATTAACAAAGGGAAAAGAATTAGTTCTAAGCTATATACATCCATAAACAGATTTTTTTCAATAATACAGATTTATACACTAAGCCATACTGGCTTTTACATGTACATACAAGAGTCTGTTGCTCATCTGTCTTAATGCCTATGATCAATTTGACAACTGTGGCATAAGCCAAGCTCAAACGGGTACCATATGCTACACACATTCCTTAACAAAATAGACATATCACCAAGATCTTGCCCCCAATGTAATTAAATTATTTTGTAGCCAACTATGAAAACACAACCCAAATGTGCCTATCCATGCGTGCACATGCCTTTTAGTTCAGAACCTGTCTGTGATAAAAGGCCCCAGCCTTATGGCATCATCAAATTTTAACAAGTAGGGTAATTAAAAAGGCAGTCTTACAGTAAGCAAAATTTATGCTGATATTCCCTCAAATGCTAAACTTGAGTATTTCTCACTCAACAGCCTCAAGAGAGTAGTATTTGTTAATATATGCATACATAATAATTAAAAAAAAATTAGTTCTCTACAATAGCAGTTGATTTCCATAGCACTATTTATGCCAATAAGGCTGCAGATGGGTTTCCTGAATATTAACAATTTTAGACTGTCTAAACTCAGCACTTTAAAGATTTTGTTCTACTAGCCAGAAATACTGTTGCACTCCAGTTGTGATATCCCTTTTTCCAAGCTGTCACAAGCACATCTCACTGCAAGCAACATAATTAAAGAAGTTTCTCTCTGCTACATAAAAGCATATTGCACTTATAAATATAAAG